CGAAATATTTCTGACAACCAGACAGTTATTGCATTTTAACAGCTGGGCAAAAATGTATTTTGCAAAATGCCTCTGATAGAGTTTTATTTGCCGGCCGCCCAGCCATTAACAATCATATTCGAAAATACTGAAGAAATATGAATTGATGCTCCGCGAGATGGTCAGTCGAGTTCGTATTTGTCCAATTTTATATGGTATTTATATATTCAAGCAGATGCAAATGCTAATTGGCATGTACATAGAGCTCGCGGCGGCTTCGTATAATGTATAATTAAGTTGGAAATCCGAATTTGATGGCCATTAACCTGATTGTGTTCATTCCTGGAATTGAGTGGGTTTGCTTGTCAAATTAAGTTTTATTGAGTTCAGTTTTCCTTCGTGTTCGTTCAACAACATTTGGGTCGACAAATATGATACAGAACAATTATTTCATAATTTCTATTATCGCCTTGCATACATATTATACATCAAGATAAGAGCTAATGATTAATAGTGGCAGAGACTTTTGCATTGAAGATTTATTAATTATTGTGTTTTGGTTATCTTTAAGATTTATTTATATATATATTCCTGATTTAATTTAGTGCATTTGCTTAGCGGGCTTGTTCTGATTTATGTGAAAAGATTAATTGATATAAGATTCCTTTGAAATTCTGATACAAGAATAAGCTTCTAACTGATTAGTTAAATTAACTTTTTGGTTTATTTATTGTTTTAAAATATTACTTTAGAGAGTGACCCAAAAAAAAAAAGAAGGGACTGTAATTAGCTGTTCAGTTGGTCTAAGGTCAATGTGCAGTACTCTTATTATTTGTGCATCCTGCATCCTGCGGATATAGGTCACCGTCGGCTCATCCACGTAGCTCATCACATCGTTTCTCACTCTTCGCCTGACCCTCTGGCCATCTCCACTTGAGCCTTTTGCATAAAGAATGATGTGCGTGCCGCGGAGAAGGATATGATGTTGATGATGATGATGATGATGATGAAAATGAGAATGACTGGGAGCCAGAGACGCAACTATAGCCAGGTCAGGTCAGGTCTGGTTGGGCTCAAAGCTGCCAGGTTTTTGGCTTTGTTCTTTGCTCTGTATTCGACTTGGATGGTTTTCTAAGCACTTGAAGATATTTGTATATACAAAATAATGTTTACAAATTAAAACCGGAAAATAAAAGAAGCTTAAAAATATGATCTAAGCTTAGTTTCTAATTTTCTTAAATTGTTTTAAAGTTTCAATAACATCCTTAAGGATATACCAGCAGATTTCTTCAAGTGCTTAAAGTGCTGTGCCTTCTGCCAGTTTTATCTCTGAGCATAGGGACGTGCAGCATACTGTCAGCGTCACCCTAGTCCTCGTAGTCCTTGTAGTCCTCGTAGTCGTTCTGGTTGTCCTTCTAAAAAATTGTTGGCCTAGCGGCTGCGTGCAAGGCAAGTGGCGCCAGTTTGTATTGTCATCCTTTTTTGCAGCTTTCCTTCTTCGTTTCCTTTCCCAGCCAGTGTCTCTGTCTCTGGCTCCATTTCCAGTGTCCTGTGTGTCCTGTATCCTTTGTGTGTGTGTGAGTGTGCTAGGAAGCGCTTTTTCTTTTCTATTATTGTCTCACTTACAAGTGTACCCGATGTATTATGCATATCCTGTAACACTCCACTTTTGTTGTGCATTAGTCAAATGTGCGACAGTTGGAAAATGCTGAAGCCGGAGCTGCAGGATACCGAATAGGAGGCGAAGGGGAGGAGGTCAGGACACATCCATTTAGGAGTCGCACACACAATTGGCCAGGCACAAGAGGTTGCCAGGCTTGTTGTTCTTGGATTTGTTCTTGGGCAAAATTAAGAAATTAAAATGCTGAAAACGGCAACGAATTAATAAGCACCTTTAGCCTCAGACTTAGCCGCTTAATTGGTAAGCATTTGGCTGCAAAGCCATGAGCTCTTTATTTATATTAATATCAACCCGTAAGCCCCGTCTAGATTGGCTTTATCCGGCTCTCCTCCCCCGAGAGAGAGGAGGGGGTCCAATTATCACAGTTCCCTTTAGCTGGTGCCAATGCCATAAAAGTGCCACTTAAACTGTTTTAGTTTTTCCCTTTCTTTGTTTTCCCTTTTGTCGGAATCCAGTTGCAGGTAGCAATGGCCCGATGGCTAATTGGGAAGGCGTTGGCCTGGCCCCAGACTAATGTCCTTACACACGGATCAGGTGATGAGGGGTGATGTGAATAAGGAGCAAGGAGGGTGGTAATTCGTATCGAAATCATTTGAAGATGTAGTGTATTTTTATTTAAACTCTCACCAGAACTTTTTCAATTGATAATGACCTAAAACAAAAACCCATTTCTGTCATAAGAAAGTACCCACAAACTGCGTCTTTAGTAATAATTTTATATAATTACTTGTCTCAAGTCTTAATGATAATGTATTTCGTGTTATTATTTTGATTGCGCAAGGATTTACTTGGGGGAAAATTCGAGGAAAATATTTCAAAGTCAATTGACTTGATTGCCAAGCAGGTTAAGTGATTTTCTGATACGCTTTTAATAGCTTATCGATTTCGTATGGTATTTTTCCCATTTGGATTTCTCAAATATTTAACTTAACTAAAACCAACCGTATTCAAATGTCGAAATGTTTCGTTCTGTTGCGTTGTTGTGACAACGACATGGAACAAAGTACAAGTTTTAATTACAAGTGCGAAGGTGGTGCTGGATGACGGTGCTGTTTCGCACTTCAAATTTCCAACTTTTGACAAATGCTTTCATCCTTTAAGTCCTGCCCTCCCCCGGAATTGCGCACCTGTTTCCTGCAGCGCTTTTGAAGTGGAGTGCCAATTATGGGACGTGTTTAATTGCTCGATTAGCGAGCATTTTGTTTGGCCCAGTCATGCCACGCCCACGCACCTTCCTTCCTTTCTACACACCATTTCGGCTGTCTGTCATCGCTTTTCCAGTTGCACACACACACACAAATGAAAAGCGCGTCATCGTGTCCGCCCTCGTCCTCGACTCCAACTCCGACTCTGCCTGTCTCCGGAGTCATCATCTTGCCCCCGGAATTCCCAGAGCTATAATCTTGAACTTGCTACCCTTCGGGGAGTTCGAAATGAGATCGGGGCACTGGGATTGGGATTGGATTGGATTACTTTGAGCTGGCTCTCCATCCCGGTTTTTAACTAAATCTCGTTTTCAATTTCATTTCCACTCGAGCAACACTTAAAAACAGTCGCCGAATTAAATTATTCAAAATGTCAAACAATTATTCAAACGCCAAAAAAAAAAAAAAAAAAACGGACGGACAGACGGACGAACGGAAAAGTTTCATCTGGGAGTCTGGAAGTCTGGTCTGACTTTAGAAGTATATAAGCCAACTTATGATTTAAAAAGATATTAGACTTGTTCACAGTTTGCCGCTCCCTTTGTTGTTGCCTTTTGTCCTTTATGCTAAACAGACGCCGACGGCGCCGACGGCGCCCAACAGACCAAGAGGGGGACAAAAAAATAAAGCCGGAAAAATCGGGGGAAAACCTGGAGTACAAAAAGTAGCACAAGCTTTGGCAAATTATGCTGGCAATGGCAAATAAATATGTGTATTCTTATATATATATGTAAATGAAAAATTTGCCACAGTCCGGTATTTTTAAGAGGAAATTTTAAGGCAACCAGGACATTTTCTTTTTCAGCAGATGCTTTTCTATCAAAAAATTATACAAATCTCATTATAATTTGTGGAATAGTAAAATTTTATGACAAATACACATTAAAATGGTATTAAATATTAAACAGAGTTTTCCTTAACTTTAGAAATATATATTTCTATGCTTAATTCACCTTTTCAAAATACTTTTCCAATTTTCTATTCATCTTAATGGGGCTCCTCTGTTCCTTAATAGGAGGGGAAATACTAAGAAAAAATTTCATTATTTCTAAAGTTGAGAGAGGGCAAGGTTTATGGACGAATTCTAGGCATAAACTTTTATTAACTGTGTGCGTATTTTACAATTTTCGGGGGGTGAAAAAAAGTTTTCATTTCCATGCAGCCATTTGTGATGGCTTTTAAAGGGCCGCAGAGTATCGCAAAATGTGGCTTTTATGTTCCAGGTGAATCCCCTTTTTGCAATTTTAAAGAGGATGCTGTAAATATTCCATGGATCCTGTCTGTCTGGCGGCTTATTCCGCAGCTCACGCAATTATGCAACTTGTTTCTATCAATCAAAGGTCCTTGCCACAGAAGCCGCCACACCATTGCCACACCCGCACACACGCCTGCGATTACAGCTTTCCACTGAGCAAATTTAATGGCAATGCGGTTTTTATTTTAATTTACCCAACTAGACCTGATCAAAGGCGGCCAAAAGGCCCGTGAAACTAAAATATCATTTTATACGGTGCGGCGACCCCTTCCTCCTCCTCAAACTCTCATCGAAATCGCTATTTTTGACTTTTCCGTTGTGCGGCTTGGTTTGGTAAATATTAGAGTGTGTTTCGGTGTTATACTAGCTAAAGGCCTAATGAGTCAGAATTTGGCTTTGACGTGTGCAAAATTTAACGAACACAAGTTTATTAAGCCAACTGAGCGGATTTCTCGAGCTGATGGATAATTGGCAAGCCAAAAGATTCATGTTTACGAAAGTTAGAAACCTAATTATGATAAGAATTTTAAGGATACAAAACATGTAGAAATTACTTTATCTCTTTTCATATAACATATGAAATTATATTACACAAATAACATATTTTTAAATAACTGTATATAATAAGTTGTATTTATTTGGAGGAAATTTAAGACCAATTAATTTAGTTTTTATTGAAATTTGTATGTACATTTTATTGTCAACTAATACCTTCGGTAGAGTGATTTAGCTTTAATTATTATTATTATATTTAAAACGTTCAATGGTAATAGCTCAATTTTTTCAAATTACTTGTGTACAATTAAACAAATCATGCATAAATATCTATCTGTTCTGTTTTTTCGTATAGAAAATTTATTGCACTTTGAGACCCCAAAAAAGCAGTTCAACTTAATAAGTGTCTCTTTCTTTGCAATAGTCTCCTTTAATATAAGTGTAAGTCAAAAAACTTAATATAGAATTTTTATAATTATAACAACAAGTTAATATTTTTTACAGTTTGCCATGGTCTTTAGGTTTTCGAATTTAGCCTGTGAGAGCTACAATGAGAAATTGTTTGTGTTTCACAGTTGTCGCCTTAAGGCCATAAGTCGGGATAAAGTAACCATGAATATGAATGGAACGGTTATGTATTCGGGAAAGAATATCAAATTTCATGTGAGAATTTTTAAACGCGAAAATGGTTTTAAGCCCTGGTTATTTAACGTCAAATTCGATGGCTGTCGCTTTATGCAAAAGCGTAATGTTCCCATTATTAAAATATTATTCAATAGTTTCAAGGAATATTCCAATTTGAATCACACGTGTCCTTTTGTGGTAAGTGCTTTATTTGAAATGAAGTATATTTTCAATATTTAAAAATATAATGTTCCGTTTGTTAATAGGGTCCACTTATTATTCAGGGATTTTATTTGAAACCCGAACTATTAGTTCTTCCTATTCCCACCGGTGAATATATGATTTCTTTTCGGTGGTTCTATGATGACAAGCTCCAAAGTGACTTAAATGTATCTTTTGTCTACGTTGAGGATATTAAAGTTGGTGAAACGAAATAGCTAGATATTTGATAAACATATATTTGAGTATTAAATAAAAACTGTTTATCGTTTAATAACCTGTTTTTTCATTAGTTATTTATCGATTAAAGCTGTACTTAAAATATATGTATAGATCGATTAAGCAAATAATTATAAAATAAGTACATTTTAAATATATTTAAATATATACCAATTATTATAAATATACCAATTTAAATTACTAAAAATACAGATAAGTATTCCAAGCTTTATTTCATACTAAATACAATTCACACATTGGATTCGTTTATAGTTTATTGAACCATATCAAGACATTACCTTCGCCACACTTATCTACCTATGCCACACCGCAATTAATTATGTAACCACAAAGCCAGAGGGAGAGCCAGAGAGTCCTTTGCCCGCATATATATCCTATTTGTACGCAGCTCCTCCAATACGGGATCTAGTTCCTTTGAATCTCGCCGGAAAAGCAGTTGTGCCGTCTTAATTATGTTTTCTTCATCTGTCACTTCTCTCACGCCCAAGCAATCGAACACTCTCTCTCTCTCTTCGTCTTTTGCCACAAAACCAATAGCGCAACAAATGAAAAGCGGGGGAAAAAATATAGGAAAAATATGGGAAAGTGTCATAAATCCATAACAAAAATGTTGCCCCATTAGTGGAGAGCAGCCAGAAGCTGAGCCGGAGCAAGTTTTGCAATGGCTTTCAATTACACTTGACGCTCATAAGTATGCCATGATTAATGTAAAAGGTACACTTGAAATCCGAAATGGGAAATGTGAAAAGCGAAAAGCGACCCCTCATTATGGCATAGCATCGCCTCTCAGTCGATTTATCATAGACATCTTCGGTTGGCTGAAAGTTTGGGGAAGTTGAAGAAAATGGGAAATGGTGTGTTCGTAGCTCTTAGCTCAATGGCAAACTTTGGCTTTCTCCGCAGGAGCTGGAATGATACATACATATATATACACACGCATAACATGGGTCATAATTACAAGGGTCCAAGCGCTAATAGATGGTCCACAAAATTTTCATTTGTTTTACAGTATTTTGATACCCTGGAAATAACATTTTTAAGGGTTATTAGAAGCGAAAAAGTTGGCTGCATAAAGTAAAGAAATAAGTTGGAAGAGTAAGTAATCTAATTACTTAAAATATATAAATATAAAATATAAGGATTGATGCCAATGTTTACTTACTTTAAAGTTAGTATATTATATGATTAATTTATACTATCAAAAACTATGCAATAAACTTTCCAAAGCATGTTTTTAAAAACATTTTTGTTCGACCTCCCTTGTTTTGTTTGTAATTAAAATAAACCAGGGTATGTGCTATTTCAAACCTTTTACACTCCCTTCCCCACATTTGGCTTCTGTCGCAGTGGAAATTAAGTCATTAGACTCGCACTGGATTTTCGCTTGATTGACACAACATTTCACATGGCAACTAATTGATGTTAATTATTCGTTTTTAGTTTTGCTTCAGGACGATGTCTTGATGGATGGTTGGCTATTATGTAAGTGAATAGAGCGTTTTCCCTTCGCGGCAGCTGTAAGTACCAGCTTAAATCCTTTTTATAGGCTAGATTAGCCAGAGGAAAATGCTTTTCAAAAACAATTTTGGCTGCTTGGGCTAAAAATAGAAGAAACACAGAGTCTCAATCAAGAGAGAGGGTAAAGTTAAAGCGACACAAATCGAATTGCCGACGAGTTGAGTATTAAGCCGGTGCCAAAGGGGGTTTGGGAAAGGTTTAAGGGAGGAGGCAATGTTAACCATCTTTCAGCATTCGACACTTGAGGAAAAGTTGTCCTTGTCGATGGTGGAGCGTAACGGTAGCAATTTCTGCATTTATTTTTATCCTTACGAATGCCGCGGAAATCCTTTCAACGATGTTGACGCATTTCTGCGTGGGTAGCTGATGGTGGTGCCAAGGATTCTTTATCCCCATTTCCACATCCCAGGAGCTGTCTCTCTGTTTCTCTCTCTCTCTTATCCTTTCATCACTGCCAATGTCCTCCTCATCGAAAATCCCCGTCTTCCCCACCATTACCATCCATCGGTCTGCGTGTCTGTGATAACAAATGCAATGGCGTAATCAGGAGCAGACTTGGCCCTGCAAAACAATCACTCACTGTTTGACTTGAGTTAATCGCCGTTGGCCTTCGAAAGCCACCTCATCGACTCTGGCTCCGACTCCTTCGACTACTTTGCCTTGGAGTGAACGTACAGTCGAAGAAATGTCCTGCTAAAACAAAGTTTAAATAAATATAAATAGTGTTTATAATAACTCTGAGGATTGTTGATTATTTAAGGGGATTTTTAACATATGGTTTGATATGTTTTTCGTATATCATTGTTGATTTCTTCAAGTGTTTAGTGAAAACATTTTCCCTTATAAGTGCAACCCCCGCACATACATATACACACTCTCACGTATCGAAGGAGCTCCGGGGGTAAACAGAATTGATTGCGTGTATTTTCATCTTGCGGGCATTGCCGCAATGCCATTTCATTTTCGGCTTGCCAGATGAATAGTTTTGCCCAGATCCTGGTCCCTGGCATTTTGGGTTTGAGCAAGGAGCATCTTGACTCTCTGACACAGCTCTCTGGATATATGATATGAAACATTTGAAGTATGCACTTCGTTCACAAACATTAAGCCAGGGCTGCAGGTTTCAAAACATTTAATTAAAGAAGCTTGAGATTTGGTTAAATAATAAGAAAAAACCTAAAGATATTTATATAACATTATTTATAATATATTCAGGTTTTAGTAAGCTATAGGTCTTAATAGAAAATAAAACTGGCTTTTATAAAACACTTGTATAAATATTAAACTGCACTTATTTCCGCTTTTATATGCCTTTTAATTGTTGTTCAATAAGTGTCGATTTAAACACTTTAAGCAATTGTATCCTTTCGCTCTCTCCCTTAAGAAATCGCAGAAATAAAGCCTTGAATTGTGTCCTGTTGTTTCCATATCGTATTAATGTCAATTTGCGGCGATCATTGATTAAAAATTGTACAATCTGTAGCCCTGACACGCACTCCCTCCTGCCAGGATGTTTGCATTAAGTGACTGTGTGTGTGTGTGTGTGTGTCTGCGAGTGCGTATTTGTGTTTGGGTGTGTGCATGTCCTTTTGGCTTAACTTGCAATTTACTCAACTCGGTTCAGCTCAACTGAGATCCCGGCAATCCGCACTCCACTGTCATTTGTTGGCGCTTCCTTCGACCTGCTTGCTTGCAACTTATGCGTGACTCAAGTGCACACTCGAGGGGCTCACAACTCGGCGGAGCTCAGTGCTAAAACTTTTCCCCACTTGAAATAGTTTTTCCGCACAACCCACTTTTCCTCATCTCTCTCCGAAGGCCTGGTACGACGGCTCGCCCAGGCTCGGCTGGTTGACTTTATGCAAATAAATGTTTTTACTCATTTTAATACACAATTTTTATGGCACTTTTGCTGGTAATGCGCCGCCCAAAAACCCCATCCGCCCATTCTCCACCCTTCCCTCCTGTTTTATATCCGTGCTCATCTTTCATCTCGTTAGTGCGTTTGTATTTATACAGAAATTTGCTCAATTTGCTCTCGATTTATGCAGAAAGATACTTGGAAATGGCTCTGCACTGCGAACTGTGATTGTTTGCACTGATGGCCACCCGAGAGCCAAACCATTTGATACTTAATTGACTTGCATTTTTGCCCAGCAGCTGATTGCCTTAATGATGGACCATTAGCGATGAGTGCGTGAGCGAAAGTTATGCAAACAACAACGGACAAGTATTGTTCAGGCAAAGGCCTGGCTGAAGGACTATTGGGAAAGTGGTTAAGAGGTCAGTCATTTTGTTGATTTAATAACAAAAATTGTGTTGATAAAACTGAAGAGGAATTAATAAAGGAAATATGAAACAGAGAGTTGAATAAAACTTGAACTATAAATTATTTTAAATATATTATATAAATAAGAATTTAAAAACGAATTAAAGAGGATGAAATGGAGAAAGGGATATACTTTTAGTAAGAAAAGATAATGGTAAATGGACTAAGTTGAGTGGAAGAAATAATATCTTAAATAATTAATGATACTCTTAAAGAGTTTTTAATATTTTTAATTATATATTTTAACATCTGGAAATGGTGAATTTGGATTCCCAATCCAAGAACATTTCTCTCCACTATCGCCATGAAGGCCATCACCATTGACAGCCTGATGATGTCCGCTAAGTGCATAATCCCCCCTTTTTGGACCCTCTAACCACTTGGAATATATAAATACATACATATATATTTATATGCGATATTAGTTCTCGACGCTTGGCCACAATGTTGCCATTTTATTGTGCAATTGCGACGCAAAGGGAGGTAGGAGACCGAACGACATTGTGGGTAACCTCTCTTGGACGGGAGGGGAAAGGGCAATGCAGGGCCAACGGGGTTAAGGACTAAGGTGTAAGGGGTACGAATGGGTCTATAGTATTGGGTAAACCTTTCTTTGCCGGCATAGTAAGCGATTTCCGGCGCAGGACGAAAAGGTGGCGCCTTACCAATTGAATTGCAAATGTTGGCGGACGACAATGAGAATGAGAAGGAGAAGGAGGAGAAGAAGCAGCGACAGGAGGAGCAGCAGTCCTGGATAAAGGATATGGCGGTGGTAACGGACAGAGGCGGAAGCGAGGCCATCAGAGGCAACCATTGAATGGCTTACTGAAGGCGACTCATGATTTCTGATTCGAGCACTTAACAAAAAATGGGATTACTTACGTTTTAATGTTTATAAAATTAAAAATAAATAAAATGATTGGTGAGAAAAACTATTGAAAATAGTATATTATCTCTCTATATCATATCGAAAATTCTATAAAGTTGGATATAACGAAATTTGAATTATCGAAGTTTCCGATATATCATTAATATATCGGAAAACATCATGAAAATAATATTTCAAGTTATTTTTTGTGTCTTTTCCGATTATATTGTTCATATATATTTAGTACAATGGTAATTTATAAG